CAGACCGTGCGCTGGAAGCCGCCCCCCGCCAAGAGCGACTCGCACATCGGCTGGCGCACCGAGTTCCGGTCGATGGAGGCGCACATCTGCCCAGATCTCCCCAGATCTCCCCAGATCTCCCCAGATCTCCGGCACCGAGTCCCGGTCGATGGCGGCTTCAGCGCGGCCTCGCCACGCTCGCAGCCTCCTCGTTCCGTCGTCACAGCCGCCTCCCTCTCACAGCCGCCTCCCTCTCACAGCCGCCTCCCTCTCGCTGCAGGTCCAGCTGACCGACTTCGAGAACGCCGCCTTCACCGTCTTCGTCGTCCTCGTCTCGCGCGTCATCCTCTACTTCAACCTCAACTTCTACATGCCCATCTCGTGCGTCGACTGCAACATGCGCCGCGCCGCCGAGCGGGACGCAGTCACCCAGGGCAAGTTTTGCTTCCGCCAGTCGCCCATCTCGGGCGCGTCGAGCGGTGCGGAGCATAAGCGCCCCCCTCCCCTCCCCCTCGCCCCGCCGCCCACCTGCCCGCCGCCGCGCGCAGGCTCGCACGCGCGTCGGCCGCCCTCCTCGCCGACCAAGCGGGAGGCGCGGGACCGCACCGCACGCGGCTGCGTGATCCGCCGGCAGCCTCACCTCGGCGGCGGGTGCGGCATTAGGCGGACCTGGCCGAGGCGGTGCGCGCCGCTGCGTCGAGCTGCTGCGGCAGCACGGCCGGCGTGGAGGACCTCTCCCTCTTCGAGATCATGGCGGGCAAGGGCTCCTTCAAGGGGCTCGTGCCGCTGATCCTCACCTACCTCGACCTCATCAAGACGGACACCACCACCCTCGCCACGATCAACAAGTACCTCGACTTCGTCGTCGCGCGCGCCTCGGGCGAGCTGCTCACGCCGGCGCAGTGGATGCGCCGGTTCGTGCTCTCGCACCCGGACTACCGCCACGACTCGCTCGTCTCGGAGCGGATCGCCGCCGACCTGCTCGCAAAGTGCCACCGCATCGGCGCCGGGCTCGAGCGCTGCCCGGATCTGCACGGCGACTTCGTGGTTCCGCCCGTGCTCGCCAAGGACGCGTACGCCGTCAACATGACGTCGGGCGAGGCGCCCGGCGCGCGCATCTCCAGCTCGACCGACGGGCTGATGGCGATGCACCAGATCCGCCTCCAGCTGCAGACGCGCCGCCGCCGGCTGCTCGCCGACGCGACGGAGCACCGCGCCCGGCTCGAGGCAGCGCAGGAGGAGCTGCGCAACGTCGAGACGCAGCTGGCGGTGCTCGCCGCGAGGTGACGCCGGGGGCAGAGGTAGGGGGTCGTTCGACCCGAGGCTCGGAGAGCGGCGGGGCGTCGCGCGCCGGCGCGGGGCACCGCCTCGCTCTCGCCGCTCTCGCGGCGCGGTGTAGACTTGCTAGCCGGGACGAGCGGGCAGCTCCACTGGACAGGGAGACTGCCAAACTTGCGGTCGTGTTTGTGCACGGTGTTTCGTGTTTGCCTCGAGTTCGTGATTCTCTATAGAGTCCAGAGATATAACTTTACACTTAAAATGCACGCGCCGCTCGAGCGGCCGAGGGCGGTTACGTGGCTGGGTCGACAGCGATTGTAGGAAAATTGGGGGACCAACTCACGGTCGCGGCCTTCCGACTCGCGCCTCCGCCTCACTGGCACTATTGTAGCCCTGGTTGGTGCGCGTGCGGAGTTGAAGTTCCGGAGTAAAAATTCGAACGCGTTCTCTCACGGCGACCAAAAAATGTCCACCTCAGAGGCACCTCCGGAGGCAGGCCGCCGCACGCCGGCGACACAGCTCCAGCTGTCGAACTGACCCGCAGCTCCTCTCAGAGCGGGAACTGTGACGAAAGTTGACTGAGGCGGTTGTCAGGAATCATCATACGGATCACATGGTGGCTCTCTCATGACGGGAGACCGACCGACCACTCCTGGGTGGCACTGCCACCGGTGTCGCTCGACGTCCTGTCGACAGCGTGCCGACAGCGACACAGACCATGTGGGACGCGTCGAGTATCGACCTCTACTGCTTACCCAGCCTTCGAGTGTATCCTGGCTGTGGTCCCACACCCACTGGTGTCCATCTCAGAGACCGCAGGAGGTCATGAGGGTCGATGGGAGTGCCAACCCCACAATGTCTAAAGACCCAGCCCAGTATGTCGACACGAGTAGCAGAGTAGGGCCCGGGGGTCGCGATGACCGATGTGTTTTACATTATACGATATCGGATATGCTCCTCTCCTCGTCGCGATTGCTGAGTACATTATGCGTAACTATGAATGAGAGCAGTCACGCTTCTGAGATTTTGAACGCTTCGCGCTCGCGGTTGACGTTGATCGTTGTGTGGCGCGCTGACCGCTGTGTGCATGGTGGTGTGTTCGTGTTCGTGATGAGACCAGATGCACAAAAAGACTTAAGTATAATTGACAAAAAACCGAACGACGCGAATCACTCTACGATTTTTTTCTGCGCATCGAGAACCTCAGTGCTCAATATTTACCGGTATGAGACTGGTATTTGGTGATATTTTGATTAGTTTTGGAGTGGTATGGTAAAGTGGTATGCGAAAGTGGTATGCGGGGTTTTTGATTTTCATTAGTGTAGCGGCTGTGTGTGTGGTCCCGAAGGCGAAAGCATGCAAAAGTGCACAGGTATTACCCGGGTATACCCGGGTTTTTCCAGGTACAGGTATACCCACAAAAAATACCCGGTATTTGCCGATTTTGCCGATTTTGCCACCAAAAAGGCACTCCCACTCGCTTTGCTTTCCGTGAGGCAAGTGGTATTCGATACCACTTTTTGATTAGTTCAGGCCTAGGGTTTGATTAGCCAAAAACTCCCATACCGGTAAATATTGAGCACTGGAGAACCTCCACATCGCGATCCGCGCTCTTCGCGGCACAAAACCACACGGCTCACGTCACGGGGCCGACCACGCGTCACGCCTCGAGGGACACGCGCATCACGCCCGTGACGCGTGAGCGTGACGCGAGCCCGGCCGGCGCGGGCCGGGGGCGCGCGGCGGCCTGAGCCCTGGCTGTCAGGCTGTCAGGCTGTCAGGTGATCTGTCGGGCTGTCGGGCACTGTCAGGCTCTGTCAGGTGCCTATGTCAGACCAGCTGTCAGGTGCTGTCAGTGCTGTCGGGTGCTGTCGGGTGCGTGTCTGACAGTCGAGGGGATCTGTAGCTGTCGGGCGCTGTCGGAGCTGTCGGGTGTTGCTGTCAGACGCTGTCGGAGCTGTCAAGAGCTGGGGGAGGGAGCACTTGGAGCACTTGGAGTGCAGTCTGCGTTACCCGGAGCAGACGGCATCGCCATTGGCCGCCGAGGGAACGTTGGGAAGAGGCACGAGGTCGAGGAGGGCGGCGACCTCGACCGACTATGGAGGACCCGTCGCCAGACGACGCAGGGCAGAAACGACGGGGAGGCGGAGCAGACGCGCAGGGCGAGACGAGGGAGGGAGCAGGACTTTGCGGAGATCAGCAGGAGGATGTACGAAGAAATTAGGAGCAGTAGGGACCCGAGGGACCATGTGGAAGACGGCTAGTTCTAGTCCCCCATCGGGAGGACGACCCCGGCTAGTCGCCGACCACACCCACAAAGAACCCTGCACAAAGATCGCAAGGGCGGGGACCTGTTCCTTTTTACCCACCTCACACTAGAAAGAAAAGAAAGAAAGAAAACAGACAACCCAAGGGAGGGATGGGAGGACGGCACGCCGCCACCACACAGGGATTTTAAGGAGAGGTGTGTGGTGCGCTAGCCGTCGCCCACCCTAGGGAGTCTGCCTCTTCCTATCTCTCTTCGCAGTCTCTCGCCGCTTCTCGCTGCAACCTTCATGCCACCTCGCGGTCGTCCCACTCTCGTCGTTCTCTCCCTTGTCATTTCCTCCTCTGTCGCGTCGTTCCCTTCTGCCCGAGATGCGCGTTATTATATCCTTGAAAATTCTTTCCCGGCACACAACAAAGCAAAAAAGAACCCTGGGATGCACAATTCGGACACGCTGTGATAATGTATAAAACACAAGACAAATGCAGCGAGAGTGTGTCGACGCCGGCTGAGTCTGTCAGTCACGCCACGAGCCCGTAGCGCGCGCAGAGGCGGCCGACGGTGACGAGTGGCGGGCCATCTCGGTGCAGCGCAAGCGGCACCGCTCCGGCGGGCACCCACGCCAGGTAAACTTGAAGACGAAAAACGTGCGCCTACGTGTGGGAGACAGAGAGGATCAACGGGGGAGGCTGCAGACACATTATTATGGCGCCATGACTGAGAGGCCTTGGTGAAGACCGGGTCCATCAGGAACTTCTTCTGCATTCGACCCGGCAAAGAACCGAACTGCCGCAGGAGCAGCTTGCCGCCGGACTTGAGGGGGACGCTCGCCCGCCCGTGCAGCAGGCGGCGCGCCTCACCCATCACACCGTCACCTATGCACGGGGCGAGAGGTGTGAAGAGGCGCCGTTCATAATTAAGGCTTAGACCTCTTCACTCCCAGCACCGCCACCCTCCTCCTCCTCCTCCTCCTCGCCCTCCCCCCCCTCCTCCTCGCCCCCCTGCTCCTCGTCGTCCTCCTGCGCCTCGGCCATCGGCACATCGCCTTTTGTTCACAGCATTGGGTGTGTGAATTGGTGAGTGCGCTGGATCTCGCAGAATATATCTCGGCTAATCTCGCCGAACACATCTCTGCCAATCTCGGTTAATCTCGTCGCGCGACTTACCTTCGATGTCCGCCGCCGCTGCTGCATCCGCCCTCAGCATCGGCGTTGTCGAGAGATTGGCGGGTGAGATGCTGGCGCAGGCAGCTGTCACCTGCAGGTGGCACAATCGGTTAGTCGTCCATCCCTGGGAGCGTCTCTTGCCCGCGAACACTTCTCACGCCTTCGCTGCCAGGTCGACCGCCTGCTCGTCGCTGAGCGGCACGCCCTCGACCTCGGTGTAGGTAGAGTCCCAACCGCTGCCTCGGGAGCTCTTGCGCTTCACGCGGCGAGCTTCCGACAGCGCCCTGGCCGTGACGAAGCTCTCGAGGATGGCGGCGGAGATCGCCGCCTTTGTCGAGTCGGCCTGTTCACAGCTGCAGGCGTGAAGAGACGCCGTTCACACCGAGCGCGTCTCCAGCGACGAGAGCATGTGCCTGTTCACAGCTGCAGGTGTGAAGGGACGCCGTTCACACCGAGCGCGTCTCCAGCGACGAGAGCACGTGCCTGTTCACAGCTTGAGGCGTGAAGAGACGCCGTTCACACCGAGCGCGCCTCTAGCGACGAGAGCACCGTCGCGAGTCGAAGCTCGAGCTGCTTGTCGTACTGCTTCTTGTCGATGTCGCCGGGCCCGTCCGAGATGGCAGCGGAGCCCGCGCCCGGTCCGTAGGTGGAGGGAAGGATGCCGCCCCCCAGTTCCCTGTCACATCCTCCCTCGCAAAGTCGGATGCGGTTGGCGGCAAAGGACGCGGCCACTTGGAGCACCTGAGGACGGGGGCGCCACCAGGATTTGCTACGAGCTTATGTAGTTGTGGTTTCCTGTTCACGGGAGGTGGCTGTAAGGTCACACCTTGCTGTCGGTTCTCACGGGCTTGCCAGCGACCGACTTCAGATGCAGGTACCTATTCGCTGGAGATTCGCTGGAGATTCGCTGGAGATTCGCCGAGATTTGACGAGATTCACTGAGATTCCGAGACTAGTCAAGGATGGACGGCAACGGCCGAGATTTGCCGAGATGCCTGAGATTTGTGTGGGCTAAGTGTGCGCATGCTCACAGGCCCAGGGCCGAGCCCTGGCCGTCCCCTCTTCCGAAGAGAGCCTCGGTGAGCTCGTTCTCCGTGAAGCGGGGCATGGCGTCGATCTCCTCCTTGGAGGGCTCGTTGCCCGCGCGGTAGTCGGCCACCGCAAGCATGGTCACACCCGTCGCCTCGCCCACCAGCACTGGCACGTGCAGCCAGATGCACCCGGCGCGGTCGCCTTCGGCGATGGGCGCCGCCCCTTGCTCCACCTGAATTAAGGGAAGTGGGTCTAACGGAGTGTGCTGCGCAGCAGAGCTTGCTTGGATGGGCGCGCCGCGGACTGCCAGTGCTCCTCCGCGCCGAGCGGCAGGAGCTTGTAGTCGAGCACGTACTGGTCGTTCTTGATGTCGAGTCCTACGGCTAGCACAGAACAGACGTGTCACTAGGGGGGTGGACAGAAAAAGTAAGAGTGGCGCAGAGGGCCACGGCCCTTCTTCTGCAGCGCCGTGACAGCCCGCCGCGCCAGCATTTGCGCCGCGGTGCTGTTGGAGGCGTAGCCGGGGAGCTGCACCTACACGCTCGTTACGCCGTCCGGTCGACAAACAGGATGCGCTGGCGTCGACGGTCGAGGCAGCGCAGCCCGCCGAGAGGAGGATGCGCGACTTGTCGTCCGCGACGTCCGTCCTCAGCACCTCTTCGTAGAGGTCCTTCAGGGAGTGCAGCTTCTCTGCGTTGTAGGCGTCCTCCAGATGCTCGGCCGCACGGCCGACCATCTTGGGGTCCGTGGAGACGCGCTCGCTCGAGCGAGGGCCCTACCCACAAGGTTGTGTGTGAACAGCACTCACTACCTAGGCTGCGTCTCGGCGGCATCTCCGCCATATATCTCAGCTCCACGCAAGGCAGCCCTCGGTTAGGTGAACCCCGTGCTCAGCCCCCCAGCCCAATCTCGGCCCGTGTAGTCCGCCCCCCCCCTCCTCTCTCTCTCTCTCTCTGGCCGTGTCGCGGTCATGCCGCAGAGCGCCTCCCGCCCTGGCGCCGCCGACGCCGCCTTGCGCTGCGTCGCCTCCTATATGGCACGTCACGGACGTGTCGCGGACATTCAGAGAGCGCCTCCCTCCCGCCGCCGCCGACCTGCAGCGCCGCCGCGTAGCGCACCGCCGCCTCCTCCGAGATCGGCGCCCGCGTGCCCCAGCCGCCTCCCAGGGTTCGCACCTCCTTCCAGGTGCCAGCAATCTCCTCGCCCAGCAGCTGCACTGCCTTCTTCGCGCATTCCGGTTGGCCGCAAGTGTTGCAGGAGGTGGGCTTTCCAAGCGAGATGGTCGCGCCGCAGCGGGCGCAGGCCCGCCGCGCATCGGAGGCGGGGGCCGCGCTGGGGCCGGCTGGCCTGCGCGCGGTCGCCTTGCGCTCTGCCGCCGCCGCCTTGCGCTGCTCCTGCGCCGCCGCCTTGCGCTGCTCCTGCGCCGCCTTGCGCTCTGCCGCCGCCTGGCTCGCCGCCTGGCTCGCCGCCTGGAGCGCCGCCCGGAGCGCCGCCGCGTAGCGCGCCGCCGCCTCCTCCGAGATCGGCGCCCGCGTGCCCCTTCTGCCTCCTGGAGTTCGCACCTCCTTCCAGGTGCCAGCAACTCCCTCGCCCAGCAGCCGCACTGCCCTCTTCGCGCATTGCGGTTGGCCGCAAGTGTTGCAGGAGGTGGGCCGCCCAAGCGAGATGGTCTGGCCGCAGCGGGCGCAGGCCCGCCGCGCATCGGAGGCGGGGGCCGCGCTGGGGCCGGCTGGCCTGCGCGCGGTCGAGACGGGGAGAGGGGGTGTGTGTGCTGGCGGGTGCAGAGAGGGAGCGGCTGTGGTGGATTGTGTGTGTGTGTGTGGGGGGGGGGGGGAGCCTAGCCACGACGCAGCCGGGGAGAAAGAGTCGCTACCGCCGGGAGATCCGTCCGGAGGACTCCCGTGCGCGGTGGGTGATAGGATGTGGCGGACGCATTCGGCGTCTCTGGAG